AATAATGCAAAGTGCATAAACTTCAAAATCATTATTTAAATTACTTATTCTACTATTTATATCAATTTTCCTCACACATATTACGAAAAATGTTGTACGTAACTCGTGCGGACGATTTCCCGTACTCGTGTGATTGACTCGCACTCGTGGCCGATGCCAGTAACTCGTGCCCTGCGATCACACTGGTGCTACGCACTCGTGCGCTCAACTGGCACTCGTTCCCAGCAACTTCTCCCACTTCTGCGCGTCAATCACAACTCGTACGGGAAATCTTTTATTCCGCACTTGTAACGTAAATAACTATTTATATACATTCAGGAAATATAAAGGTTTTTAACTCGTTTTCAGTCAATAAATTTATCCCGTCCTCTCTCTGCCTCACCTTTCCCTTTTATCAATCCCTTGCCTCTCCAAATTCAATTCCCACGACAGGGTCTATCGTCCATCCTCATACACCACATGTGAATACTCGAGAGCACACTCTCGTCCATACAAAAGCTCATGTGCAGCGCTCGGGCACTGAATCGATTAACGTAAAAGCATCAGCAGGTGTTCTGCTGCTACAACTTGATTTTACACGGAATATTATAGCACAGAGCCCAACTGAGTCACGACTCACGTACGTACTGTACTTGTATGAATTTAGTGCCCGCATGTACGTACATCAAGGTATAATGTATACACCATGCACTCACCTGACGGCGTCGAGAGGCACGGGGGGAAGGTGAATGGCTGCCACCGCTCTCGCTGTCGGCACTGGGCGCGGTAACACCCAGCCTCGGTGGATGCTGGTGCTGGTGGGTCTGGCCGTCCGAGTCCCGGCGGCTCTCGCGCTCCGAATCGCTTGGGCCCAGCACGCTGCTCCTGTGATCGCTGTGAAAGAACAATGGGTTCTTTCGCTCGGCCCGGTCGAAACTTTTTTCGACGAATTTTCGATGTGGTGAGAATGAATGTTCGATTCGTTTTTATGAGAGGTTTTTGGGCTTTTTCGAGTAACATTTTTTCCGTTTTAATTATTTTGACTGCACAATGGGTTTTGCTTTTTTTCCAAATAATTGACTGAAATCACGATGAGCAACGTTTTGCTACATATTTTTAGTACTGCATTTTAATAGCTACAGCAGTACGAACACACTTTTCCTTAACTTTGCAAATTTATTAAGAATTTTTTGGGACGAGTCAAGGATTTAAAAATTTTTAAACTTGAACCTAAATTGATAAAGAGATGCGAAAGTGTTTCAGGAAAATTTAAATACGAAACGTTTATGAAGACAACGTAAAACAAAAAAAAAAGGTCCTTCACCGAAGTTTGATTTAAAGCATACTTTCTGGGACGGGATCAATTTGAAATGAATGAATTTTTTCAGCATAGAATACTGTAGGAGAATTTTTAGAAGATTTCGTAAGCTCTTTAATTGAGTTTACAGGCTCGTTGCACGTGTTGGTGAAAATGAAAAAACCCTAGAGTTTGTACTGTTTGAATGTAAAAAAATCCAATGCTAGTTATTTAAATTTAATTTTTCTTTCGATGAATTCACATTTCTGTAGTAACACTCGATGGAGCAGTGAATTTCAGAGTAAAACGCATTATATCTATTGCCGACGAGCAACGAATTACGAGCTGGAAGAGAAATTCATTTGCCCAAACTAATATGTTAGCTGTTAGCAAAAAGCTACTTATTTCAGATCGACTGCAAAAATCTCGTGAAATGTTTCATAGTAGGTGTACCAATATCCCACATTTAAAGATTAAAAACGCATTTTTCAGTCGGAAAAAATTGCACGATTAAGTAAGAAAGTCGATGGTGGTTAAAAAAAAAAAAAAAAAAAAAAAAAAACAAAAGCACCGAAAGTGATGATCATGGGGATGCTAAAAAAATGACGATGGAACCATTCAACAGACCTGGAAAATGCCGAATCGGAGCTTTTTTCGACGCTCTTTCTCCAACTTTCGCGTCGTATGTTCGTGTTCTGCTTGTCCTTCCGAAAACCGATAGCCGCCGCTCCGTTGGCCCCAGGCCGCTCCACCGGACGGTAAAAGTTCACGCATATCCCAAACCGGGTTTTACCTGTTGCACACATATATAACACAAACACGCTGTACAATATACATAAGAATACATGAGAAAGCTCGCAAAAGCTCATTTTTCTTTTCTCGATACTGCTTTTTGATGAGCTTTTCACAGATAATACATTGACGAGAAATCTGCGTAACGCGATACGAAAATGGTGTCTTCGTGAGAAGCAAAGGAACACACATTGACACAGTATACATGGTCGCCATTAAGCTTCAGGAAAGGCAAGTCAAGCGGTTAAGTCAACAATGGAATCGAGAAACGCTTTGCAAGCTCTGTCGGATAAAAGAAGAGCAACGACAACTTACCCGAGTCCTTGTCGGTAAGTGTGAACGTAAACGAGTTGGCCTCGCGCTGAGCACTCCTCTTGGGTCCGGCGCTACTGCAACCCTCGGGCTGGCAAAAGTAAACCATGTCCAGGGGGAGCGGAAAATCCTTGTGGTCCTCGAGCGGATATCTGCGCAGCAGCTCCGGCACCTGATACACGCGTATTCGCGTGGATGTAAATATACATTAGATGTCCAAGGTGATGATTGCTTTTTCAAGTTCGTAGCCTTTGGTAATTGTGAGCGTTTCATTATTGCGTATGTAAGAGTTTTTGCTGGTTAAATAAAGAGATTAAACAGAGTATTGATGTTGGATATTTTTGTTGGAACGCAAATTTATGTAAAGTCAACTTCATAGTATGTATCTTTGATTTTTTGTTGTCACGATTCTACAAAAAAAAATATTTTTTAACGTACACGATAAATTTTAACCAACTACCAAATTATATTTCTTCCAGTGATGCGTATAAAAAACTTTTAACAGCGACGACACAAATTTCCAACCGCAAAGTTTAACTATACTGTCTCGTTTTGAGGATTAGCGAAGCTTAAATTTTATTTTACTTGCAAGATAAAAAAGCTTAAATATTCAAGATATTCCTCGAGTTACTTTGATTTGGGAAAAAAATGTACTCTGATGCGCGCAAACTTATGCCATTAGCTGCATGAAAACTAGTATGTACGGTTTACCACTTTGAAGAGCTATCATGTTTACATTAGTAAATGGGCAGCTCCGGATACTTTTTTTTTCTTTAGTAGTACAAGTACATCTTTTTTTTACAAAAGTCGTATTACTATGATTTTTTGCTATAAAAAATGTACTCTTAATAGACAACTGGAACTAATGATTCTTCTTGATTTTTAAGTTTCAAAATAAGAAAAAAAAGCATCTATTATCCACCATAAAAAGCATGCGTGTAACTTTTAACAGTATAAATCTTTATTTAATTACTGAATATTCAAATTTTTAAAACAATACAATTACAGTTTTAAAAAAAGGCCTTCCCAAATTAATTAAAGCAAAGTAAGCATATACTTTTGTATTAATATTTTAAAAAGATTTTTAAATTTTCTTTCATCCAATATTTTATAATTTTGAATACCTTTAAGACCTTGGACATTTGTCATTCTGTGTTCAAGCTGCTGTATTTTATAATTAAATTTTTTTTTATGAAGAAAATAATTTAAGTGGATTAA